GAAAGACTTTTATTAACATCAGGTGTAGCCTCTGCACAAGGTTGGAGCCTAATTACTGCCTTTAACTCTGATAAAACCGAATCTGATGTTCCAACAGTGTTCAGGCAGAGAATTATTACCTGCAATGCTCCAGTTTGACCTCATGGTGGCAGTGCTGTCTCACTGTTGTAATGGCTACACAGACTACAGGAGAGAACAAGAGGGCTCTACTACTGATGTTTCATGATGTCTTTATGCATCATGCTGACGTCAGCCTCATGACATCATCAGGTTTTATAGATCACGTGCTGATGTCAGCAGTGTTAATATGTAAATCTAGTGCAGTATATTCATCTTTATGTCTGTGAAGGTTCTCAGTCATCCAGGTCATCGTAGTCAAAGGAGCTTGCAAAGAAAAGCGTCTGGACTTCTTTAAGTTGCTTGAAGACTTTCACCTCTCATCCGAGAAGCTTCTTCAGTTCTAAGGTCAAATGGTGGAGAGTCCCAGATATCCTAAATGGGCGTTCTTAAAGTCAGCAAAGAGGCACAGAAAAGAAGACCAGACACCAGCGAGGGAGGATAAGAAGGACAGACGCAACAACATTGTCATCCCCTATGTAGCCGGTGTATCAGAAAAACTCAGGAGAGTTTTCTCCAAGCATGACATCCCGGTGTATTTCAGACCCAGCAACACGCTCAGACAGAAACTGGTTCACCCGAAAGACAAAACGCCAAAACACAGACTTAACAATGTGGTGTATGCTGTACAGTGCAGCGAGGAATGCCCAGACCTCTACATTGGAGAGACCAAACAGCCACTTCACAAGCGCATGGCACAACACAGAAGAGCCACCTCCACAGGACAAGACTCAGCAGTCCATCTGCATCTTAAGGATAAAGGCACTCTTTCGAGGATGCCAATGTTCACATTTTGGACAGAGAGGACAGATGGTTTGAAAGAGGAGTGAAAGAAGCCATCTATGTCCACTGTGAGCGACCATCTTTGAACAGAGGCGGGGGTTTACGACACCAACTCTCTGCCATCTATAATCCAGTTTTGAGATCCCTTCCCAGACGCCTTAACGCCCACTCACATCCTGGGCCATCTGACCTCAGGAATTCGCATGATAAGGTGGGGCCAGGTTTCACAATGAACACACCCGAAACTCTGGCTGATTGGGACCCACACCCAGTTTCACACCTTGGCTCAGGCGATTAGAGGATCATCAGGGGGTCCTTTTGTCCCTCTGTGGGGGGTACTCCCACTAGGTTTATATCTGGGACTCTCCACCATTTGACCTTAGAACTGAAGAAGCTTCTCGGATGAGAGGTGAAACGTCTTCAAGAACTTAAAGAAGTCCAGACGCTTTTCTTTGCAAGCTCCTTTGACTATATTCATCTTTGTGTCAGTGTGAAGTCACATAATGTTGCACTGAAAAAATAATATTTTGAAAAAGCTCAAACAAAGAGTGTTCATGTCCTCCAATGACTAATATATTGTTAATGTTTGGAAATGGAAACTAAAGCTTTGTCCTCATTCGTGTGACCCTGACCTTTGACCTTTGTATTTATTATATTTACCCACATGATTGGAGCAGAACTGGAAATCTTTGGCTTCTATAACCTGCAAAAACTTCAGATTTTAAGATGTTTTCATGCAGTGTGTGATTTTGTGACTACTTTATGGCATCATTGTGACTCGTATTGAAAAAATAAACTGTGTTGTTCCGCTCTCTTCATGTCCTTTAAATCAGACAACATAACAGTGGTTGTGTGTTTGTTGTCACGGCAGCAGCCGCCATCTGTGACACCAGCACACAAAAGCAACACAACAGCAGGTTCAAACACTCAAAGAGCTGCGTTACAGTTAAATGTGTGACTGGTTGCTGAGCTGTTTGATGTTATGTGTCAGAGTTCAACTTCACATGTTTGAAATAATAACACATTTCTGGGAGCAATAATGACAGAATAAGGAACAGGACAGACGATGACGACCTCCTTCTGTTGGACATGTGCACATCAGTTATATGCATTGATCCAGTGCTGCTTCAAAAGTACACACACACAACAACCAGTGCAAGAGCACAACTACATGAACTAGTTATGATCTATGTAGAAAAGTATAAAGCAGATAAAGTACACAATATATAACACAGTGATGCTATCAAACAACAACACACAAACAACAACACAAAGAGTCCAGATGAGCAAACAGTCGCTGCTCAGTGTGACCAGGACAGTCTGAGCTCCGTCCTAAACCTGAACAGCTGTTCACCAGAATACTGCTGATTGCTGCTCAAAGCTGCTTTCAGAGAAAGTGAAGCTGTGATCAGTGTCAGTGTGTTACTTTATTACAAAACACTAAAATGTTACTTTGTGTCTCTGAGGGTTTCTGTCACATGTGAGTGTGTTCTCACAGCAGATCATTGAGTCGGCCTCAGATCTTCTTGAATCTGTAAAAACTGGAATCACAGGCTGTAGAATCACAGAGCAGCTGACTGGTGTCCTCTAAATGTTCACCTACAGCATTCAGTTAAAGAGGAAAAACTCTGATCTGTGCTGACATCACTTCCTGGTTCAGACTGAAGGAGAGGATGAGGAGTTCACTCTAACACCATTAACACTGAGATGGTGTCACATGTTCATATGATGCACACAGCAGTGGGACAGCACTTTGTAACATGTGATGTGACTTTGATAAAGATGAAACATTCTTATTATTATTGTGACTTTGAGACATTGATGTCACATGTTTTACTCTCTCCACACTCAAAGACCTTCAGAGTGTCTTATTTAAACATCTTCAGGCTCTGACCTCAGAGGAGGGACCAGAAGGAAACTGTCAGATCATCAGTGTGATCATTATTGTCTAAACTTCAATAAGCAAAACTGAATAAACATGTGTGGTTCATAAAAACCTAAGGAAAATGTGTACACAGGTTACCTTACCGGGAGCCATGTGTGAACAATCCTCAATGTCTGTGAGTTTGTGGTTTGGAATTTCCTTCTCGCTACTTTCAGCCACATTTACAAAAACAGTCCTCCTGTTCTGACTGTTAATAATCAGAGAGAAAGTGCTGAACTCCTGCTGACAGACTTTATCTGACACGATATAAAGGAGATGGAGAAAAAAAAAATCAAAATTAAGTCATGAACCCCAAAAACACATAGAAACTTAAAGAACTTAGGAGCAACTAAAGGCATAAAATACCAGGAATGTGCATCAGGAATAAGAAAATAAAGACCCATAAACACTAAAAATAACAGAAAGCAAAATATGAATAAAGAATTAAAAAACAAAACATAATCCAATCTACAAAGGCAGGAGTTTCCTGGAACACTTAGTGTAAGTATCAGTTCTGAGGAAGGGAAATGCTGCTGGAATGTTTTATTTATATGATGTTTATCTGCGGATGGGTGGAACCTTAATTAAGGTCTTTAGGCAAATTTAGGGGATTTTCTTCTTCTAGCTGTTGTGGTGACTGATAGACAGCTGTGATGATTTGGAAGTTTTTGTTTTGCAGTTTGACCACAGAGTACTGTGCAAAAGACTTGAACCACCCCTAACTTCTTTGTCTCCTTAGAATGGAAACAAAGACTTTTTTCACACATGAAATCTTAAGAAACAGGAGCAGCTTTCTGAAGCTTCTCTTTGGACACTGGCTGCTTTTTCACTCATTTTCAGTCTTTGTAGCTCACAGACTATTTTGTTTATGTAAGACTAATAATGACTCTTTCAAGCAAAAAATCATTTCTAAAAAATGTCAAAGATAACAAAACTTGAAAGACAGAATAGATTTTTACTGAAATGATTCCTAAACAGCTTTCAGCTGAAAACCAAAACAATCAAGACGTCTATTAAGTTGCTTAAAGGCATTTCAGAAACAGTTTTGTCTGTAAAAGAGAGCATTCAACAGGTATATATGTAACTCTTTATTAACACTTACATAATGATAATATAATTGTCTTTAAAAATATATTTTTTTATTAAAAATATTTATATATATAAAAAAATCTTTTTTAAAGTGTTTATAAAGGCACAGTGGACACATGAACCAAGCAAAAAAAAACCAAAACAAACCCAGTGTTTATCCCTTGGACGCACAACCTACCAGTACCTACACTCTTCCACGAGTGGGGTCAAAAATGACCGCAAATAGAAACAATGCATTTTGCTATAAACTCGGTTGTTATTCTTCAAAATCTTTAAAACGAAGAGTTGTAATATTTTCATATTTGAGGTATTCCTCATAAAACATGTTTGTGACATGAGGCCCTTTCATTTTTATTTATTTTTTCATTAATTTTAAGAAATCACGAACGTCGCACTCGCTTACGTCACTGTCATGAGACATTCTCGCAAGAAAAAAAAATCATGTTTTTATTAACGCAGCGTGCTTACGGGAAAGTAACGGTACTCTAATTACCGTTTTTGCAATAGTAATCCCTGACTTTACTCGTTACTTGAAAAAAGTAATCGGACCGGTGTAACAGTGTACATTATAAAGCCCCAAGAGTGTTCTTGATATTTATTTCTGACATGTGAAAAACATTTTTTAAAGAATATGTTTCAAAGTTAATTAATTCATGAGAATAAAATCTAATGTTTAATTAAAGCTTCAGTGACAAACTACAGCCAACAGGTGGCAGCACATCTCTCTTCCCCTCATGAGCACAGCCACTTTACCACCATCACTGCTCACTACAAGGCCTGTTTCTGTTTTGCTCCAATTTTAAAACTCAGGGGGAAGAAACAGATGTTCATGTTCAGGGGCTCTCCTGCATACACACACACACACACACACACACACACGCACACACACACACACACACACACAGAGGTTTAGTTTAATTATTTATTCTGGCCGCATCCTGTTCACAGCACCAGCTGAAACCAAAGAAAGTACAGCAACAATCTGATGATCTGATTCTGGGGGGTCAAACAGGAAACATCCACAGCAAAGAACATTAGTGAAACAGGAGGAGAAAATGTGCAGCTTCACCCTCTAAATTATTCCTGCTTCAATTCTGGAATGATGATGTCATGAAATTGATTAAATCAAATTTCTGACCAGTAGTGTTTGTGCTGTGCTGAGTCGATTATTTACAGGCTGTCTACAGAGGAGTCTCCTTCTGCCTCATTTCAGTTTCCCGAAGTGAAAAGTCACACTCCACCAGTCCCCACCTTATCATAATTGTTTATCTACAAGTCACTGCAATACACGTCTCCTGAGCTCTGCCTGTGGTTATGACAGAGTTCACGAGCTGCACTCGTGGCTTCTGACTGTTCAAAAAAAGGTGACTGACAGTCAGCTGCTTTTTTTTATTATGGAAGCAAAGGGCACCGCGCGAATAGCAGAAGCTGAAGATTCACCACTACCAGCATGACTTTATGATGACAGAGAAAATAAATAAATACATGAAACCAGTTCCTGTTGGAAAAAGAAAGAGAAAAACAGACCTTAATGGATCCTTTAAAGTCTGGATGTGAGGGAGTGTTGAAGGTGCTGGAAGTCACGATCTTTTGAACGGGACAACTAAGCCGTCATCTCCAGAGGATGGACTCATCTGTGGCACCACGTCTGCAGCTTTCATGAAAAGTTGCTTTGCTAGTTATTATCTACAGGACATTATCCTCAAGACATAAAAATCACATGTACAAACCTGACATCAAGTGTTTTCAAAATAATTGCTGACTTTGCCTAAAATAAGGTTTTAAAAAGCTTTGCTAGCTCTGGAAATAAAAAAATAAATAAAAAAAGAGTTACTGAGTGACAGTTTAAGTCTGGAGGGTTAATATTTACACTGTGTTGTGTTTCTGAAAACAGAGTTTTAATCATGAGAGGAAATAACCCAAGAGGATCTGAAATGAGCTGCAGCCATCCCTGCGACAGCCCAAAAACAGTACCAGTCACTGTTAGAGGAAATACTTTTCTTCTTGACTTTGCTGATTGAACTCGTTTTTTGTTTGTCAAATAGAAATCTAAACATATTTGAATGCTGGACTTCTACATTAACTCAGAAAGTGATCTTTACAGGAAAGTATTTAGGACAAAACACAGAATTACAGAGTTACTCAGACTTAAATGAAGGACGAGGAAATACACAGATGTAAACAGGCTCAAGTTAATGACATAATTTCCCCATTTTTACTTTAATCAGAGAAAAAAGGCCCCAGAGGAAATAAGACCAAACAAACAAACCCTTCACTCTGTTACTTGTGATGCGTGAGGCTCTCGTTTTATTTCTGTGATCAGCACAGATCAACAACAATAGATATCATAAAATTATGTCACAACAAACAAAGAAATATAAAAACATGGTACAGAGAAATGAACACGTTCAAATGCATACATACGAATACACAGAAAATATGTATCATCTCCTAATTTGAGCCACATAACATAAGAAAACATAACAAAACACAGAGTGAGGCTCCATTTCCCTCCACAGGCTTTCATACCTCGTTCTTCCTTCAAATTCCTGATACGACCTCGTGTCCTGCTCACTTTCATTTATTCAGGTTTTAGTTTTGAACATCCGTCCATCTTCTTCCACTTTTATTTTGCTCATTGCACTGTCCCCTTCTGATCTTCAAATATCCTTTTTATGACAGTGGATATTTACAATGGACTCGGCTCATCACTCAGAGTCAGATTGGATCCACAACATTTGTACTGACGGTGGTGTGATCAGTGGTGGGTAACAAAACAAAAAACAACAAGTGAAACATTAACATTGAGTACACTAGTCAAAGACATAAATTCTGAAAAGGCCTGAGAACGGATCGATAAAAATCAGAAACCTCTGGACTGTTTTCAGAGCAGCTGCTGCTTTTAGATCTCAGAGGAAGTCCCTCTCTGACCTCTGCCACAGAGCGCTCTGCAGCCTCACCACACACCTCAAACGTACAAACGACAAACAAATTAGATTTAAAACTAACCTGAACTTCACGACTGAGCAGTTTTCTGATGAGTTTCAACGCCTTAAGGCAGCACAACAGGCGAGGATGCAGATCAGGAGAAAGGATGAGATCCTGAGGCATCAGAACAGGAAACGAGCCGAACTGCTGAAAGCACCAACTGACTCAGATTGTGTTAAAACGTCTTCAGATTGAAAATTCTCCCTATTCACCAGATTAATGCTCATGTGAAGTCCTGAAAATGAAAAAACGCTGAAAGATCAACTGTGTATTTTGCACAGAGGAACAAGAACAAGACGTCATGACAGAAGTCTAAAAACAGCCACGCCCGAGGTGGAGATCTGAACGTGAGATCAGCCGAGTTTAAATAAGGTTTCTGATATTTACAGATCCAACTCAGAACTTTCCACAACTCACATAATAACACAATAAAACCATTGTGATAATGGTTTTTATGTTTTATTAAATAAATATTATGGGTATACTATAATCACATATTAGATTACATTGAGTCATTATTTCTAATGGGGGCGATGGACAGAAAGCAGGAAGGTGGCTGATTGGCTGCAGTTGCCACAAACAGAAATAAATAAAGTGTTTAAAAGTGCAAAATAAAAACGTAAAGTTAATAAAGTGCTTAACTCACTGAGAGAACTTGCTAACCATGCTACTGTGGCCCCATTTTAATCAGAGCTTACATAAACTGATCTACTCTACGTCTGTCTCCTCCACCTCTCTACCTGCTGTTCTCACGGTAAAATCAAGCTCTGCAGAAAAGAAAAAAGGAGAAGAAAAATAAACAGATTTAAAGTCTATAAAAAGCTTGTTGCAGCTCTGTTTATGCTGTCTGCTCGCTAAATAACAATGCTTCACACATCGTCTCAAACATTTCAGATCAACTCTTTAACATTTCAGGTAGATGTTCATAAGAGTTGCCGCGTGTTGATGATTTCCATTTTCTGTTGAAAAATACTGCACCACAAACGCCAACAATAAGACAACTTACAACTGCAACAATAATGATAATTAAAACATGCGTGTCCTTGTGTTCTCCAGTTGGATCTCCTGAAGAGAAAAACAAAAACAAAACAGGTGAGAGGCCTGAGGTATGCTGACAGCATTTCTTCTTTTACACTGAAATACGCCTGGCAGTTAGCAGAGGTCATAACGTCCAACAGTGACGTAACTGTCAGAAAAGTAATAAAAGTATCAGCAGGCGCTTGGATCATAAACACTGAGCACATCACTGTGCTCATGTTTCAGAAACCAACGCTTTTATTTTTTCTCTCAAACACTTGTGTTAGGTAAAGTACCTTTCAAAAAAAAACCTAACAGCAAGCAACAGAACGAAATATAAACTTAAATATAAATATATATACTTCTAAATACATTTTCCTCACAGAAAGACAAAAAGCAGGGGCGCACCCAAAGAGCAGAGTGCAGGGTGACACTGCACCACATGAAATCTGAAACTTTAGTTCATTATTTTACACTTTTAGTTGTAAGTCTACTGATATACAGGGAGTGCAGAATTATTAGACAAGTTGTATTTTTGAGGAATAATTTTATTATTGAACAACAACCATGTTCTCAATGAACCCAAAAAACTCATTAATATCAAAGCTGAATGTTTTTGGAAGTAGTTTTTAGTTTGTTTTTAGTTTTAGCTATTTTAGGGGGATATCTGTGTGTGCAGGTGACTATTACTGTGCATAATTATTAGGCAACTCAACAAAAAACAAATATATACCCATTTCAATTATTTTTTTTACCAGTGAAACCAATATAACATCTCCACATTCACAAATATACATTTCTGACATTCAAAAACAAAACAAAAACAAATCAGCGACCAATATAGCCACCTTTCTTTGCAAGGACACTCAAAAGCCTGCCATCCATGGATTCTGTCAGTGTTTTGATCTGTTCACCATCAACATTGCGTGCAGCAGCAACCACAGCCTCCCAGACACTGTTCAGAGAGGTGTACTGTTTTCCCTCCTTGTAAATCTCACATTTGATGATGGACCACAGGTTCTCAATGGGGTTCAGATCAGGTGAACAAGGAGGCCATGTCATTAGTTTTTCTTCTTTTATACCCTTTCTTGCCAGCCACGCTGTGGAGTACTTGGACGCGTGTGATGGAGCATTGTCCTGCATGAAAATCATGTTTTTCTTGAAGGATGCAGACTTCTTCCTGTACCACTGCTTGAAGAAGGTGTCTTCCAGAAACTGGCAGTAGGACTGGGAGTTGAGCTTGACTCCATCCTCAACCCGAAAAGGCCCCACAAGCTCATCTTTGATGATACCAGCCCAAACCAGTACTCCACCTCCACCTTGCTGGCGTCTGAGTTGGACTGGAGCTCTCTGCCCTTTACCAATCCAGCCACGGGCCCATCCATCTGGCCCATCAAGACTCACTCTCATTTCATCAGTCCATAAAACCTTAGAAAAACCAGTCTTGAGATATTTCTTGGCCCAGTCTTGACGTTTCAGCTTGTGTGTCTTGTTCAGTGGTGGTCGTCTTTCAGCCTTTCTTACCTTGGCCATGTCTCTGAGTATTGCACACCTTGTGCTTTTGGGCACTCCAGTGATGTTGCAGCTCTGAAATATGGCCAAACTGGTGGCAAGTGGCATCTTGGCAGCTGCACACTTGACTTTTCTCAGTTCATGGGCAGTTATTTTGCGCCTTGGTTGTTCCACACGCTTCTTGTGACCCTGTTGACTATTTTGAATGAAACGCTTGATTGTTCGATGATCACGCTTCAGAAGCTTTGCAATTTTGAGACTGCTGCATCCCTCTGCAAGATATCTCACTATTTTTGACTTTTCTGAGCCTGTCAAGTCCTTGTTTTGACCCATTTTGCCAAAGGAAAGGACGTTGCCTAATAATTATGCACACCTGATATATGGTGTTGATGTCATTAGACCACACCCCTTCTCATTACAGAGATGCACATCACCTAATATGCTTAATTGGTAGTAGGCTTTCGAGCCTATACAGCTTGGAGTAAGACAACATGCATGAAGAGCATGATGTGGACAAAATACTCATTTGCCTAATAATTCTGCACTCCCTGTATATTGCTGGATTAATATAGATAAAACCACCGAGCAGCATAACTGAATAAAATTTCCATCTTATACATTAAAAGGATGCACATATTAATGCTACAACAACTATGATCCAGTCATATCATGCATGTTTTTCTGCATTATAATTTACTCTGCCATAGGCACTCTACAACATAAAACTCAGTTTAAACAGTTCTCATGTCCGACATCTGTGTCAGCCTCAGAGCCTCTGGCTATCAGCTCTTTGCCTTTTTCTCGGTTCACTGCGCCACCACATTCAAAACTCTAAGACAGTCAAAGAAGTAAAATGCACTCGACTGGTATAATCACACACAGGAAAATGAGCAATAACAGATGTCTGAATGAAAATAAAACGGGGCCACTAAACAACTACGTCAGATCAGATTTATCACCACTCAGACGCCACTGCAGGAAGCATCAGCATATGTCAGGTAACACAAGTAGAAAGATCATGTTAACTGCAGACTGCAGTGATCTTTCATAAACCACGTCAAGTCCGTGGAAAGTAGACCAAAAAAGATAAATAATTGCAAATCCTCTGCAGTGATAAAAGTCTTTTTGGAGAAAGACAAAAGACAAAAGGCTTTTTGCGTCTCTTTTTCCTTTTCTTTTCTTTTTGTTTTGGTCTTCTGTTTTTACCACGCATGGACAGACAATGCTTCCCTCAGAGAACATCTGTGGGGGTGCAAAAAGCCAGCGTCAAAGTTCAGAGACACAAAAAGCTCTTTTGTGCTTAGCCGTGCAGTGAGGGCTGCACTTTGCCTCCACATGTCCCTACTCAGAAGAAGAATAAGTAGTAAAGTGAACCTCTCAACTCACCAGAGTCTATGACTGTGAGGTCGATGGACTGCCTGGACTCACTCATGACTCTCTGACCGCTGCTGAGATTACTGGTTATAATCCGACACTCATATGTTCCTGTATCGTTGACGTTGACGTTCTTCAGAATCACAGAAACGTCTCCGTTTTTCATAGACGGGTCTGCCAGCTCCACTCGGCCTTTAAAACGCTCGTGCTGGTAGCTTTCATATGAGCGCCGGTTTCGGTAGAAGAAGACGTATCCGTCTGACTTAATCTCAGGTATGCTCCACTCTAACAGGGTGATATTTACACCCCTGGGATCCTGACAGTGAAGAGTGACATTTTGTCCAGGCCTCACCGTTATATCTGTGTGCAAAGACAAAAGAAAAATGCAAACATTGATAAGATGTTGCGATCCATTTCTTTACGACATATTGTGTAGAAATGCTGGCTAACTCCTCCTGTACAGTTCTTTTTTCTTCAGTAGACGAGCATATCAAGAGACATCTGACAGAAACTATTTGGATCGAGGAAGTCTTAAAAAAACATCAGTGGATTAATCAAAGTAATGGATTCCTGCAGCTCGACATATTTCCAAAACAAGGCCAAAGAGAAATCTGCTTTTTTTTTTTTTTTAAATTTCCTCTTGATGATGCACTTTCACACACAGTGACAAATGTCCTTGATAGATGTAGGCCAGAGGCTGTTATGGGCCTACTTTTCTGTTGCTTGTTGGGGAAAGCGTCCTCCATAAATGTGCATGCGTCACCTGCTCGTGTGAATAACTCATGCACAAGAAGAGAAAAGAATTAAAGCAAACTCATACTCCTCAGTGGTTATTAACCTACCCATGTGTTCATTTACAGAAAAGAGGCTGCAAAAGCTACCGACTTAGATTACAGCACTCGATGTTTGTTTGTGTTTGTCTGGGTCAAAAACTTTCTTGAAATCTTAAAATGCCTTGAGTACCAAGCTCTTCTCTAGGAAAACCAGATTTTCATCATATGGTACCAAGTGTTATGGATCAGACTTTGTGGCTATTTTAAAAGAATATTTCCTTTGAAAATAGCACATTAATTTCCTCATGCTGTTCTGAATTGCTCAACTCTGTTGACTGTTACCACATGTGTAGCTAAGAACCCACAATGACACAGATTTGTAAATAAGAATAAAATAGAATAGACCTTTATTCTCATTGTACATGCACATTGAAATTGTGGGTGTGCCATGCCAACTGGGCAAGTATAAAGTGTAAATAGTGAGAGTGCAGGATCAAATAACAAACATGAGGAGTGTGTACAAAGCAAGAGAAAGGTCACGGATTAGCGAACAGGTTGTGAAGTCTCTTTTATTTCATGTGGCACACTCAGTTCCTTTACAGGAAAATGAGGATTGGTAGAGCCTAAATTAAGAGTTTCCTTTTCTTTGCTTCCTTCCAACTTAATGGTTTCATTTCTACCACTGCAGAAAACAAAAGTACAACATTGTGGACCTGACAGATTACTTGCACATACGCTGATGTTACACTTGTATGAACAAACTATAAACCTATGTCTGGGAGCTATGACGCCAAATGCAATAACATACGATAGAGTTGTAACACAAGAGGTCATTTTCTGGGTTCATGAAGAAATGTCTGCAATTACACCAGTAAACTTTTGATATGTTATAAAAAATTCATAGTGACATCATACCTATTACATTCACTAGTGCACGCAACATACTGGGGAAAACAAAGGGGAGGAAAAGATTCTGATAACTGCATATTTCTTGTGTAGCTGATGTATCAGTAATCACCAGACATACTAAAATATTTAGGTAAATATGTTGACAATCTGACAACTTAAAACTACTGTGTCGTGTTTATGCACACTGACTGTGTGCAAGTACAACGCAAGAAGTCCCGAGAAAGGTTTAATCCCTCAGAGGGAGACAAAAAATCTCCCAAAAACAAGCATGGCAAGATCAGCAAAATGCAACTTGACTAATATCTTATCATAAGCATCTACCGACAGACACGCTAGTTAAACAGAAGAATGAAGCCAGCCCTTGTGACTTAGAGAAGACAATCTCTGTCTCCAGCTCTGGAGATTTCTTCCGCCTGTATACTCCTACGGGAGCATTGGGATCAATTGCTCTTGGTGGAACCTAGGTTACGGCTAAAGACCAGAGGTCCTCTGGAACAATCTCCCCCAAGCTAATGTTTACATTTGAACAGCTGTTAAAAAAAAAAGTGCTCAAAAAAAATTGTGAGTCACAGCATTTGTCAGACTGCCAGCAGTTTTTATTTTAATTTTTAATTTTATTTTTAGCTACTCACCTTCTAATGCCACAGTCTCAAAAGTCAGAAGAAGAAGAAGAAGGATGTGAGACATTTCTGCTGAATAACTCACAACTGACCCTTCTGGAGCTGCTGGAAACTCGATTTGTGTAAATCTGGTGTCGTGCCAAAAGCAGTCTGAGGCAAGGGGCAGTCTGCTGCGTTCAGGGACACACCCACCTGAACTACATCAGCCGTCACAGCGTGCTTTCAACCCTGAAGCTGCATTCAATGTTTCTCTCTCCTGTTTTTGTTGTTTTTGTAGGAGAAAGCGCAAAGTGAACACGGGAAAGTGCCTCGAGCCCACATTCATGACACCCTAAAATGATCCTTATTTAGGTTTTGTATTGTTTAATTGTTTTTTTATTTTATTTATTATTCCACTGTAGATGCTGTAGAAATAATATCTGCTTTCCGTCTGTGTATTTTTGTAAATATCTTGTGTAATGACAATGAACCTTATTGAATCTTCAGTGTGAATCAGTAACCAGCATCAACATTTAGACAACAAAGTTAACTTAGCATGGTTCTAACAGAGCTCACTGGTTGCCCTCTAGTGTTCGCCAGCGGTCACTGCAGGTTTAATTCTTACCCGGACGGAAGTGACGGACAAGGTAAGCGACTCATGTTGACGCCGGAGATTTTGGCGGAAAATTAAAGCGAATGGTAGTTTAGAATTGAACAAATTCCTTTAAGCTTCAGTATTACCAAATACACTTATCAATTGTCTTTATTTATTTTAATTGTGTGTCTTTAATTATTACCTAAACATTTCTATGTGCTACAAAATAGACATAATTGTAAATGTGCTGAGGTGAAACTATACTTTCAATAATATTACCCCTACAGACGGTGGTTAACAGGCTGATTAAATTAATCTATGCTGATCAGCTAGCTAAAAGTCTTTACTTTAGCAGCCCAAATCAGAGGCTAACATTAGCATTTGTTAGCGTCAGCTAGGAAACTAGGGTTAGTGTAACTTTGCCTGAAACTCTTTAAAGAGTAAAGTAGAGCTAAGTGTGGCTCAACTTTGAATACAGTTTGGTGCCATTTACAATTAAGAAATACAGATAGTTTCTCTCTTTACTATTAAAGTTAACAAATATATTTTTTATATTTATCAACCTAAAAAAAATAAACATTTAGTCTGACTTGATGTTACAATTAAAAAAGTGTTTTTATCTGAAGAGTATGTAAATATCTGGTTTCAACTGTATATTTGATGATGTTGGTGTTTGGCTTGATTGTCAGCACAGAGAGGGAGAGAGAGGAGCAGAGAGGGAGAGAGAGCAGGTGAGACACACATGTTAGTCAAATGGTTGTTTACCAAAAGTAATCATATCATAGGTCCTCATGTATCTCGTACCTGGTGTTTCTTTTTAGGTTTGTTATTTTTCAAATTCTACATTTATTAAGTTATGCAGGCTTGTTTGCACAACAAGGCTAAATAATTATATAAACTTTTCTCAATCTAAATATTGTACTTTGGTAAAATTAAAAAACAAGTGTAGTGCAGGTCTATGATGATTTTTAGTGCTACTATCATCTAGTTCTGATTGCGGTTCTGTTTTGGTTAAATCCTAAATAGTCCTGATTTTGAACTGTTGTAGTCCTGTTTTAATTC